TGTCAAATTTATTATAAACAAATTAAACCTATTACTTTTTATTATTATTATTATTATTATTATTTTATTGTCAAAATTTAATATAAACTAAACCAACCTCTGATAGTTTCCCAGTGTCCATAATATTATCCGATTCATTTTTGAGAACTTTGGTAGTTTTATATTCTTGTTTTATTTCGGCCTCAATTGGACGTGCTTCTTCCTGAAGTTCATTAGCAACTCGTTGAAAAGATCTAGTCTTGGGCTATAAAATAAATATATTAATTCCTGATTAAATTTAGAATCGGGTTATAGTAAACCGGATCATCTGTGTCAAAACGGCTCAGCTGGGTCAAAAATATACAGTTCTAATCTATATACTTTCATCCTATTTTTTACACTTATTGCCTTGATCTTGGGTGAAAATTTGCACCCCGTTTGGAATTCTATTCCTGATTAAAATCTATGAGAATTGGATCAATGACAAACGTACCAAAAGAGATGCTCTCCTTGCCCTAACAGCTCGGTGCATTGGTGATGGTTTATCAATTTTTCCATCAGATGAGTGATTCAGAGAGCCGATTTCAATACTTATATCTAAACTCATTCTCCTCATACGTTGTGGATGATGAGATATTAATGATGATACACTAGTTCTCGCTGGTGGTGTAGAGTAAAAACTTGAAGGATAAGGAGGTGGTGTAGTTGGTGTACTTGGTCTGGACATAGTTAATGGTTTTGGCGAAAATGTAAATGGATAAAATACTGATTTATTCTCATCCTCATTGCCAGACTCCGTTCCGCTAGAAGGTGTAGGTGTATCTAATTGCATTGACATGCTAGATACATTACTATCACGTCGTTGATGACCAGATCCTACTTCATGTAGTTGTATAGACATTGTTGAAACGTTGCTTTCTCTTCGCCGATGACTAGAACCATCATCAAGATTATCGGTTTGATATGACGATGAGGCAAAATTACTACCATTATGGGGCATTAATAATTGTGAAAAATTGGTGTTCAAAGGAGGAGGTATTGGACGAAGAAATTGTTGTGAATGTTCCATTTGTTCAGAGCTCAGGCAGAAGTTTGTCTGATTGGCTGATGTAAATCAATTACCCGGGTAACTTATACAGCGCTCCTTAGTTGGTGTTAATGTTAACCTACATAAATTTGACCAACCAGATCTCATCAAAACAACGAATATGCGAAATGTTTATCGTTATTTGTTTAAGGTAATAAACATTATGTCAGGGTTAGATTTATAATCGTAGCGAGGCAAGGAATTGTTTTTTGATAGTGCGCAGAAAGACGTTACGGACGTAAAACACATTCGATGTTGTCACATCTTATGTGATAATTAATCAATCAGATCGTGCGATCGAGGTCAAATTTGCGATTTCTTATTTATTATGCTAAATCTTCACCAGGATCCCGGAACAGGAGACCGAGTTCGCCAGGGCGACCACCAAAAGTATGGTCACATTATATCTTAATAACTAGTATATTGTTTTGTTACACATTTTAAGAAATTTTCACGGCAATAAAGCTGCATGCAGGAGCTAGACGATTCAACAATTTCTAAGAAATTATGCAGTGGCCATGGCGTCTTATCGTGTGCCCGTACTTTTGGTGGTCGCCCTGGCGAACTCGGAGCGACCACATAGGAAGAAGTTCGTATGTTATCTACCCGTGATTGGGGTATTACACATCAATGATTTACTATCAAAAAAACAGCAGAGACAGTGCCCGATCCAAAGTGAATCCCTCTCTCCTGTGATCAATCACAAATTAAATTATTTATATTGGATTCAATTGTGATGGATATAATGCCTCACCAGTTAATATATGTGTAACATTAACGGTCTCTGCTGTTTTTACTATCATAGTGTAATGCGATACATATTGACAGAGCTTAGGATCGATAATTATAAGATATTGGTCATACGATCAAAAATAACAGGATATTTTTTTCATCGGAGTTCATGTCACCCCATAGCACATTGGGGTGTTTCATACTTTTGAGATTTTGTCGATCAATTTGTT